AATATTTGTAAAAAAAATTCAGATTTAAGGAATATACAATCTAGAATAAGATAAAATAATTTATATTCATTTCTAATATTATCATACAAAAAAAATACTAATTATCGTACCTGTTTCCAACTGTTAATCAACTGTATTTATGTACATCAGCAAAACTTGTTTGCCAGATTAAATAGAAAGTTATTTTCTGATCGTCAATCGACCGATTGCTTTATTTCTTTAAAAAAAAAAAATGTAGCGAAACCAGACATATGTTCTTTTATTAATAATTTCAACATCTTTATGTTTTCAAATTGTATGGATATTTGAAATTTATGACTTTTATCTTATACAAAAAAGTAAATGATAAAATGATAAAATTTCACTGAAATGATAGTGATATTTGTTTATTGTGACGAATGAAATATTTTTCTACGAATTTATCACGAATATATTAACTACTATTTAGAATAACGTCGATCATTAAATGTATTTTTAAATTATCCTCAAATAAACTTTCAATTTTTTTTAAAAATTTCCAAAATTTCAAATATTATTATTTCCTTCGAATTTTCGCGATTTTAGAAAAAATGTTTGTAATTTTTAAATCGTGAATAATAATTTAAATTTCGAAAACTTAAAATTTTCATACAACTACTCTTAAAGTTTTTCATAAATGCAAATTTTAAGAATTTTTTGAAATTTTCAAATTCCACGAACTTCTCAATTCATCATATTGTTCTAATTTTTCAATCTTGTCGAACTCTCGATTGTATTAACATTCCATTGCATAATTACGCATATACTGTCATATATATATATACACATGCATATATATATGTACACATACATAATACAGAATCTTCTATTTAATATGCCACTTGATACACAACGCTAACACCTTCTTAATAACTAATCTTCTACATAATATACTACCCACGCTAATAACTATGTATTTACTTAATCACAGAATCAACACATTTGCCTTTAAAACAATTTTTCCTTTCTCTCTCTCTCTCTCTCTCTCTCTCTCTCTCTCTCTCTCTCTCTGAAAACGACATACATATTTTAAAAATCGCGTAACAATAATCAAATATACACTCTAATATACATACGTATATATTCTAAACAACAAGACAGATTTATCATATTTGTAACATGATTTAAACGAAATATTCAAGATTATTAACTTATAACGCAAAAAATTAATAATACTAATAAAACACGCGCGTGCAGATAGATTGTTCTCATAAAATTTAATTCTATTTAATCATACGCTGTACGATTTCTTCGTATTTACACGAAATTCTTCGATTACCAAGTGCGTGATTTATGGACATTTCGAAACTCAAGGACATATTCTATTATGAATGACCTATTTTTTTCTTTGTTATTGCTTAAAATCTATAAATATAAATATCCTTTGAAAATAATAATAATAACAAAAAGGAAAGGAAAATCAATCTATAAATATAATTTCAAGAAAATTATTAATGCATAATAAGTAACAGTAGTGTACTACTGTATTAATAAATCACAAAAAAAAAAAAGAAAGATTTTCTTCGAAATTAATAATTTTATATGTACACACGCACACATATATATATATGTATATATGATAAAATTTGTATACATAAATTCATGTATAAATGTATTATTTATAATTAAATATTTAAAACAGTTTTAATATTAGATTTATACATGTACATATATATATATATACATTCCTCTAACACGAAATCGTTGATTATCAGAAATTGAATTCCTGCAAATATTGATAGCCATGTCATAAAAATTATTACTATACGTTCCAATGATCGATAATCATAAAATATATTTAAAAAAAAAAATATATCGCGAAATAGAATAGGAGAATATTTTTACATTCCAATCATATAAATCTTTAACAATATATCTCGTAAATATATCAAAGATATATATGTATATGCAAAGGTTCGATTCTTAGTAGTCGATTGATCGACATCCAAATCGATGATTAAATCGAACGCGAAATAAATAAATTAAACCTTCAAATAACTGCATTTCGCGATACGTGAACTTTACTTCATACCGGGTCCTACATAATTTATCATCTGGAATATCTCATAGATAATATATGTAGTTACAATGTTATCTACTTGAATAACTTTGTACATCGTACTTCACTATCAAAGATTTTTATATGGTCTGGATTGATAAACACATTGTTTATTATTTCCATCATTCCACACGTGGAAGATAGACATGAAACTAGAGTCATTCAAAAAAATTCTTTTATTCAATAATATAATATAATTCAGAATAAAATTTATTAATTTAATTCATAATATTTAATTTAAGATTTAATAAAATTGTATAAATTAAATATTATTATAATAATATATAATATTTAATTAATATACATATAATTAATATCTGTAAATAAGATTACCATATTTGATTTCTTTATAATTATTTTTACTAAAACAAAGTGTTTCTTTTCATCGTCTCAAAAAAAACAATTATCATGATAATTGAGATTCAAGGTGAACATGCGAATTTGTTAACATTTAATTATCGATGATGATTATTATATAATTTTTTTTTAGTAAATCACTATCTATAATCTATTTATTATATTTTAAAAAATACGATTAAATAAAAAAAAACATATATATTAACATTTCTTGTAAGATTTACAAGAATATATACGTATCAATAGATCGATTATCATTTGGATTCAAAAATTTATTAATTTTTGCCACTATCGTAGTATTTCCTAAAAAAAAAAGTTCCATTCAAACGATTTCTTCGTTTAAATCATTATCAAGTAATATGATCTACGAAAATAAAACGAAGGTAAACAGTCAGAATGATGAGCAATCAAAGTAACAAACATTTGATATCACAGTTAACATTATTATAAGAGCAATAATTTTTTTTCTTTTCTATTTTTTACAGATAAAAATGCTAAATTTCTAGAATGAGAGTTATTTTTTCTTTTTTTGTTTTATTAAATAAAATCAATTATTTTGATTTAAATAATTGCATTGCATATGTATAGAATTGTGATATATCAAATTAAACAAAGAAATTTTATTATTAAAAAATAATATAATAACATTCATAGATTCAAATTTTAATAAAATCAACTTTGAAATATGGATCAAATGTTTAATAATTTGATATTTTAATTTTAAAATCGATTATTAATAAAAAGATTTTAAAATCGATTATCGATTTTTTCATATTGCGATCTTTCAATTGTTCGATATATCGAAAACTTTCGATTTCTCCATCTTGGAAAAGAGAGAGTTTTTCATATTTTTAAATATTATAACTCATATTTTATTTGTTATCAAATATGGATTACCTAGATTTACAGTTATCAAAACATGAATTCCTTAGCAAATTAAATTCAAATATCATAAACGACTCACAATCATCATAAACTTTCAATGATTTTAATTGCTTACATTGATATCTAAATTCACAATATAAGCATTATAAGCACAGAGATTATCGATTCTTAACATAAATTCCTATTCACTCTTTTGTACGTGCAATAATATAATGACAATTTTGTTTAAACAACTGTTTTACCGAATGTTCCGTCATGATAAATTAATGATTAATTGTGATAAAATAAATTCTTAAATCATAGAAATTGATTTAATATGAATAAACATTTCAAAACAAATGAAAAATATTTCGTTCGATAATTTTAATAAAATCTTAAAACTTGATACAATGCGAAGGCAGAAAGGAGGTGAAAGTAACCTAAACAAAGATTTCTTGGCAATAATACCAACTGTCATTGCAAACAATGATATCACGTCTTAAAACCAGATAGATATTACTTTATTTTTCTTTTTAAAAATCTCAAATCTAATAAATCGCAAAAAAATTAGAATTCATAAAAAAAAAAAAAAAAGAATGGAACAAAAATCTCACGATAATAACCAATACGAAGGATACATAGTTTCACTGACCGTTCGAACAATAGCTTCTATTAAGTTCAACTTCACTTCTATTAAATTTCACGTTCAAATGATGCAAATCTCAAAACGAAAGAAAAAATCTATTAAGATTTTGAATTTGGTATCGAATATGAAAAACTTATTCTAATTTAAATCATGTATTTTTCTTAAAACGCGAACATTGGTATCACTTTAATATATATATATATCTTCGATTAATGTTATCCTTCAATAGAATTTTTCATTCAGATGCAAATTTTCTTTTTATATTTACTACAAAATTCACAAATGATTGGCAATAATCGTGTAAATATAACTAAAAATTAACAATTAACCGACATTATCAATTAAAATCGTTAACCTATCCTTCGATTTAATATCATGATCGATTGAATCATCGTTTTTCTAATTCGATTATTTCGAGATATAAGTTAAAGAAAATTCGATTATATTGGCTCTTAGAATTATACAATAAAATATTTGAAGTGAAATATTATAATTTTATACTAATTTTTATTAATTCAATAAATATATTTCTTTTACAGATTATTAACTTTATTATTAATGTGTCTCATAAAATTATTTCATCTTATTGAGAAGCAGAAAAGAAATAAGTGTGAAGTGAGCCACTTATTATGACCATAGTACATCATACTATATCAAGCAGTTTGATCTGTGAAAACAAACTCAACTGAAATAAAAGTGAAATGAAAATTTCTCAAACTGAAATAAAACTCAAATATTGATCAAATTAAATTTAAATTATATCATTAATATATAATGAATATGTTAAATTTCGTTAGTGTGAACATTAATTAACATAATATAAACAAAGCATAAAGGAATCAAATTAATATTATTAATTCGTTTAACGATTAACTTCTATTCTAACAATTTTCTATCGATACAGGTAATTTAAATGATAACAATCATTTTATTCAAATGATCCATGCATAGAAAACAAGAAAAGAATATTAATAAATGTAAAAATGTCATGTGCAAGAAAGGTAAACAGAAGCAAATGGAATAAAGTAAATTATACGTAGATACAATGTCACTTACCGTACTCGAGGTAAATCCCAAATTATCGTGCGACATTCTGGCGGGTCACTTCTGTACACACCGAAGAATGAGATGAGAAAACAGACAAAGAAAGATGAAGAATTCACCTGAAAGTGGTGTGTCAAAAAGAAAAAAAATATGTAAGCCACACGATGCAAGCACGGAACAAGGTTAAGGTAAATGAGAACGCGAAGCAGCGAAAGATGCGAAAAAGGACAACCGGTTTCAGTTTGTTATGGTACGATGCATTATTGTGTTGCGACAGGTACGGCCGCCGCAACTCGACTGATCAGGGTTCGCGCCAAGTATTATTTATATAGCATCATACCACACATACGGCACACCGTACTCGTTGCCATTTCGTTTGCTGGTCACTCACGGCATGATTCGGACGAGCGACGATGCGGCTCAAGTACCTTACGAAGTCTACTTGACACGCGATCTAACAATAAGTAAGACGAGTCGGTTTACCTCAGAAACACTTTGCCTTCTGTAAATTTCCACTATATATAAATACGATGACATTTTTGATATTTTGGGAATATCAATGCCATTACCGCCAATTTTCCAATCGGTAATAAAACGATAGCACTCTGTAAAAACATATTCCTTTGAAAAGCATTTAAACATGATGTTATAATTTTCTTGTTTCTTTCTCATTAATCATTTGCCTTTGATTCTTATTCTAGTCGCATCACATTATTGATAAGACTATATAATGTGATGCGACATCGTACTCAATTACAACGCAATCAATTTTATTACTGTAAACGTTGATAGCATTAAAAATTAATATGTAATTCGATATAGGAAGATTAATAGAGAACTCGATATTTGTCTTGATAATGAAAATTATACAGCGCGTAATGAATAAATATCTGCTTATAATCATTGATATTAACTGAATCGGAAACTAGCGATAACTTTCATTTAATAATAAGTTAATTAAAATAGAATTTATTTAGAATTGATAAATAATAACAATTAATTATAATTCAAATATATATTCATATGTAAAAATATTATCATATTTTAATTTATCATAATAATTTGTAAATAAAAAACTAAAATTTATTTACTCATAGATCATCTGAGACAAGAATAATATTATCATGAGATGAAATAGTTATCGAATTTATTATTTGTTATTCTGAGCTGAATTTTAAAAATCTTAAAGCATTTCTTTAATTATTCTAATTGATTAGCAATTTTCAATAATTAAAAAATAATAAATTATCATATTAATTGCTATTTTTATTTATATTTTCTATATGAATAAAATGATATTTTATATTCGTTAACCAAATAAATATAACAAATAATAATAATAAAGAGGAAAATAAAAAGATTGCCAAATCCTGATTGTCATTTTTTTTAATTTTATCGTCTATTTAAATATTTCTATAGAAAATATTTATAATATATTTTTTTTCTTTCTAATTTTTATTAAAGTTTTTTTAACAAATTAAATATTTTATCCTATTTTATATCATTGTTTTAAAAATAAGTATAATGATAATATTTTTATATAATAATTTAATGTAATAATAAATACATAAAAAATTAATCATTAATTTGATCAATAATAATTTTCTAAAAAAAAATTTTTAAAAATTCATTCTACAAAATATTAATTTTTGTCATGCTATTTATCTCTCAATATATCATTGTATCTTTATTTAAAGATATGAAAAAAGGCAAATATTAATTTATTAATAATCTGTTGCAAATTTGATGCATGTTTTATTTTTAACTGTTTCAAAATACTAGAAACGTGGGATCCCCTTTACCACTGCTTTCCTGTTATACTTTGTATATTTCGTTTTTCATTTTTTTTTTTTTTTTTCTATTCTTCATTTATCCTTCTATTTTTGTCTTTCACATTTAATTTTTTATTTTTCTTCGTGCTCTTTTTTTAATTTTGTATTTTGATAATAATGAATCTTTTTGACCAAGGAAAACAATACATTGTGATAAAATATTAAAATTATTTCATAAATAATGTTATAAATTTATGAATTATTTGCAAATAAAATTACATATTTTATACATGTTTTCTATTTGACTAGATTTCACTAAAGATTTTCATTTGATAATTAGAGTTATAACTACAAACAATTATAAAATATTATCGAAGTAATATTATAGGAAAGTTCTTATTCTCTTAAATTTTTTGATAATAGTTCTATCAAATTTTATTACTTTAGATTTTGATCGGGGAAACTTGCGGCTTTTAATTTACGTCATAGATTATTGACACTAAAAAGTATCAGATAAACATAGAATTATCGTATGTAGTTTGTGTAACAAATCGTTATTTCTAATGAAAAATAATATTTAAAACATTAAATTTAATTATTATATTATAAATAATGATATTTTTAAATTTGAAAAATATTTCAGGAATTTTTTTTTTATTGTTATGCAATTTTAATAGTATATTGAGATCTCAATTTTAGATAAATTATTAAGAAAATCTATTTATTAAAAAAGTATGTTTTAAAATTGTTAAAATATATTTATAAATTTGAATTTTCGTGTATTTAATAGAATATAATGAAAAAATATAAAATTAATTATATAATTTATACAAAAATGAAGTTATTTGTTCAGGAATGTATGTAATGCTAAATAATTTAATCATTTATATATAGTTTAATCATTTCTCTTTCGTTCATTTAACATATAATGAACAATCTTTCGATAAAAAGAATTGAAAAGTTTATAATTTACATATAAATAAACATAAAAATAGATAAATAATTCAAATTCATTTCTGATAAAAAAAAATTCATTTCTGAATAAAAAAGATAAAAATGATGATGAATTTAAAAAAAAAATTAGAATATTTACATAACTTATTATTTTTTAAAAATTATATTAAAATAAATTAAATTGGATAATTTTTACAAATAGAAAATAATGGAGAAAACAGATCAAAATCATATCAATTTAAATTTCAAATAATTATATAATATTATTTCCATAATTTAAATAGTAAATATAATTACTAAATATTTTAAAAATTCATAATTTCTAAAATAGGTGCTTTTATTATTTTTATTATTTGATTATAAATTCTTAATTTATTTAATTTTTTTTAAATTTATTAAATTTTTCGTAATATCCAATCAAATACAACCGTATATTTTATAAGATAATAAATTAATTCTGATAAAAGGTGTATAATATCTTTAATGGTTTTGTACAAAGATCAAGTTATTTGTTTAGGAATGTGTATATAGTAATATCAAATAGTTTGACATTGTTTATGAATTTCTTCTTTTTGTTCATTTTCTTTCGGCATTCTTTTATTTTTGTGTAAGTATTAAATATTGTGCAGTCTTAATCATTGTTTTAAATTTTCTAAAAATATATCATTAAATATTACAATGTAGATATCGGACACAAAATATATGAATAAATCTAAACTATAAATTAAAAAATGATGAAATATATAAGTGATGTACAAAATGTCAAAATTAATTAAGTTCCACAATTCACAAATAATTTAAATTGTGCACACATTTTTAAATTTCACGTATGCAATGATTAAATAAAAAAAGCAAAAGTTTCACTTATGATAATTAATAATCAAATATAAAATATAATCTTAAGACAATTTTTATATTACTTTTTTTTATTTTCTTCTTTTCTTTTTTCGTTCCTTTTTTTTTTAATTCTTTAAAGTGCAATTGCGATACTAAACTTTATCACAAAGATTAAGGATGCATATAAAAATGCTAGCAAAAAATATGTTTAGATAAATTATCACTTTCAAAATTCTATATTACAATTTTCTTCACTGTTTAATAATCCATTACTCGTTCTTGCATTTTTCACGGGAGATAGCGATAACGATCTATTATGATCCAATCCTAATGTCATCTTAAGTAATTTTAACACACTCTTCTTATCTGTACTTTCATTTTCTACAAATAATAATATACATTATATTCATACATTACATTATAACTATAATATATATATATTATATATATTACATTAAAATAAAATTAAAAAAAGAAAATTAGCACTTACCTTCATCACCAGTAATCTGTTGTTCAAGATGTAATTTATCTTGAGCTATTTCATACATGCCTTCTTCTATAGTATCTTCACTTAATAATCTAATTATACTAACTGGTCTGAAAATTTGAATAGTTTATAACATATTTTTATATGTTTATAACTTTTATCTTTTTTAATATTATTCAGTAATTAAAAACATACCTTTTTTGACCTACTCTATGACAGCGATCTTCCGCTTGCTTATCATTATACGGATTAAAATCAATATCATGTATTATAACAGTATCGGCAGCTGTTAAATTGATCCCCAAGCCTCCAGCTTTTGTAGATAGTAAAAATATGAATATATTTTCGTCTTCCATATATTGATTTATCAGACACTGTCTATCAGTTACTGGTGTACTTCCATCTAATCTATTTTCATAAAGGATTAAAAATAATAAAAAATATAAACAATAAAAACTTTAAAACAGACCTTAAATACGTTTGTCCTCTAATTGTTAAATATTCTTCTAAAATATCTAATATCATTGTAAATTGACTGAAAATTAACACTCGATGTCCTTCTTCTTTTAACTTCGGTAACAATTCGTCCAAAATCTTTAACTTTCCAGCTTCAGGAATAAGTTCTTGAGGTAAACCTAGTCCAGCTATGCTCTTATATGTTCTTGTTAATTGATTTATTTGATAATCTGACATCCACTGTAAATCCTCAAATATAAAATCTGCATTTTTCTGCTTATATGAATGCTCTTTTGCTAATCTACTCGATATTACCTAATATAAAATTGTAAAAAATTTAAATTTCATATTATAAATTCATTCGTATTAAAGTGATAAATATATTTTTATTATTTTTAAACTATAAATATACTTTTAACTTGGATTTGTTGTAATAATCTCGCACTAAAAGCGGATGATTAGCCAATTTTCTTAACTGCATCATCATTCCAATACCGTTAACCTCCGTGCTTTGATCAGCTTCGGCCGAAAATTCGGCAATTAAATTAGTATACATTTTTTGTTGCTTCTCTATCATTGGACATTTAATCATTCGTTCTTTTTTTTCTGGTAAATCTCTAAGAACTTCAGCTTTCAAACGGCGAAGCACAAATGGTCTCATGATTTGCTTTGCATTTTTCACTTGTTCTTGTTCAAACAATGGCTGTTCAGCATTTTTCTTAACTGATGGTAATTTCTAATAATAATGTAAAATTAAATGTTATATAAATGTATAACTATCTTATATAAATATTA